CGTGCCCCGCCTCTCCGGCCCTAGGTCCGGGCCTGCGGTGTGCGGGCTCGCGGAGACGGTGTTTTCATTTTCGCCCCGTTGTGCCGGAGGGCCGCCCCGCGACGGGGAACGCGCCCGGGGCCTGATCGGAAGCCCGCCCGGCGCCCGGAGCCCCGCCCCCCCCCCAGTGCCGGGATTGTGATCGGTCCGGTCCACGCGGCGGCGGCGGCGGCGGCGGCCTTCGGCCCCGGTGTCCGGCGGCGGTGCGTGGCGCGTCAACTGCGGCTGTGTATTTGCGCCTCCGGGACTGGAGGGGGGGGGGGCACGGGTGCGTGTGCGACATCCGGCCGGGGAGAATGCCCGGAGCCCTTTCCCGGAAGGCTGGTAGGTGTGCGCCCGCACGCCGGCGTCGCCAATCCTCCGGCCGCCCTGCTCGCCCGGCGGGGCGGTTCCCGCGGAGCCTGTGACTACTGGCGCGCTGCCCGACCCGGCCCCCCCCCCCCGGCCACAAGCCCGGAGCGGCCCGCAACCCCCGGGCGTCTGGTCAGAGGTCTTGACTTCCGCGCCCCTGTGGGTCCAATCTCCGAGCCCCGGCCGCGGTGCGGGGGGGGTCATGGGGGAGACGCCCCCCGGGCATGGCCCGGTCCGGGGGAGGGCGTGGGGGTGGGGTGCCGGGGGCGCGGGGGTGGGGGGGGGGGGGTGCCGGCATGTGCACGGGGCGAGGCGAAATATTTCCCTCATCACCAAAGTATGGAGAGGAAGAGCCGCGTCCAGCCATCTCCCCCAGGTTCTGCCCCCTCCTCCCTTCCTTTCCCCTCCCCTCCCCTCCCCTCCTTGGATCTCCCCTTCCCTCTCGCCTCCTCCCGGTGTGCCGCGTCGCCCTTTGCCCGACTGCGCGCCCGGCTGCTCCTCCCTTGCCCCCTCCCCTCCCGTCACTCGGCCCTGTCACAGCCCAGCTTTTCTCGGCCCCGTCCTCCCCCCCCCCATTCCCCCATTGTCTCCCCCCTCGCCCGCAGCTTTGAGCAAGTTCTGCGGCTGAAGATCTCGCGCGCGTGCGCGCCCCTCTCTCCCCCCCCCCCCTCCCCTTCCCCTCGCCTCTGCTCCGGTTGTGTTGCCTCATCCACAGTAGAGCACGG